GGGGGGAGGGGCGGCTCTGCTGGTGGGGGCGGGGGGGGCCCTGTGGTGGAGGCGCCGCCCCCGGAGACCCCCAAAAACCCCCCGGGGGGGTGGGGGAGGGGCGGGCAGGCCACGCCCACACGGCCCCGCCCACCCCCTGCGCGAGCTGCCCCTCCCCCCCGCCGCCGCCCCTCCCCCCGCCTATTACAAGGTGTGAGGGGTCGGAGGGGGAGGGGCCACGCCCCTTCCTGAAGCTCCGCCCCCTTTGGACCCCAAAAAGGGAAGAATTTACCCCAAAATGAAGGGGGGGAAACCCCGGATCCCGGAGGGCGTGGCCTCATAAAAGGGGCGTGTCCTGAAAAGGGCGTGGTCGCTAAAGGGGCGTGGCCTATCCCATAAATGGCACGGCTTTGGGGCGTGGTTGACCAAACATGGGCATAGTTTCCAGTTGTGGGCGTGGCTTCCGGTTGTGAACGTGGTTTCCGGTTTCCGGGTGTGGTTTCCGGTTTCTGGGCGTGGTTTCCGGTTGTGGGCGTGGCTTCCACCGGGGGAGGCGGAGCTTCAACGGCTTTGAGGCGTCACCCTCCGGGAAGGGGGCGGGGCTTGTTCCAGCCGCCCTCCCATTGGCTGCGAGAAGCCACGCCCACCCAAAAAGGGGCGGGGCCTCTCCGCCCACGGCTTTTTCCATCGCTGCAATATGGCCGCCGCCGAGGGGATGAACCGGAAGTGACGTCACGGCGGCGCGCGTTTCGGGGGGCGGGGCCCGTCCGCGCGCCCGCCGCTGATTAGACGGTTTTGTGCAATTGGCTCCGCCCCTTTCCTGTCAATCAAACGCGGTGGGCGGGGCTTGGGCGGGGGTGGGAAAATCGCGGTGGGGGAGGGGCTGGAAGGGGGAGGGGCCACCTGAGGGGGGGGAGGGGCACATTTGGGAGGCGTCAAAATTCTCTTTTTTCCTCCCTAAAACCCCCAAATTTTCACTTTTTTTCCTTCCTAAAACCCAAAATTTTCCCTTTTTTTCCCCCCAAAACCCAAATTTTCCCATTTTTCTCCTCTCTAAACCCCAAAATTTCCTTTTTTTCCCCTAAATTGCAAAATTTCCCCTTTTTTTCTCTCCTAAAACCCAAAATTTCCCCTTTTTTCTCTCCTAAAACCCAAAATTTCCTCTTTCTTTGCCTCCCTAAAGCAAAAAATTTCATTTTTTTCCGTCTAAAACCCAAAATTTCCTTTTTTTCCCCCTAAATCTCAAAAATTCCCCCTTTTTTTCTCTCCTAAAACCCAAAATTTCCCCTCGTTTTTCCTCCCTAAAGCAAAAAATTTCATTTTTTTCTCTCTAAAACCCAAAATTTCCTTTTTTCCCCCTAAACCCAAAAAATTCCTTTTTTTTCCCTCTCTAAACTCCAAAATTTTCCTTTTTTTCCCCTCCAAAACCCCAAATTTCCCCATTTCTTCCTCCTTAAACCCCCAAATTTCCCCTTTTTCCTCCCTAAAACCCAAATTTTCACTTTTTTTCCCTCCCTAAAACCAAAAAATTCCTATTTTTTTTCCCCCTAAAGCCCCAAATTTCCTCTTCTTTTTCCTTCCATAAAACCCAAAATTTCTTCCTTCTTTTCTCTTCCTAAAACCCAAAATTTCCCCTCTTTTTTCCTCGCTAAAACCAAAAAAAATCCAATTTTTTTCCGCCCTAAAACCCAAAATTTCCTCCTTTTTTTCCCCCTCTAAACCCCAAAATTTCCCCTTTTCCATCCCCATTTTTTAGGGTCCAAACCCCTCATTTTAATTTAATTTAATTTAATTTAATTTAATTTAATTTAATTTAATTTTTCCCTTTAAAAAATTCTTTTTTCAACTCAAAAAATCCATTTTTTTAAAGGTAAAAACCTGATTTGTTTAACGTTCCAAGCCTCTTTTAATTAATTTTATTCATTCCCATGAATTAATTTCACTTTCATTTGATTAATTTAAATTCCTAAGCCCCGTTTTCCCTCGTTTTGGAGGCCAAAAATCAATTTTTAGTAGCAAACCTCCACTTTTAAGGTTTAAACCCCAATTTTGGGTAAAAAAATCTGATTTTTTTTGGTTTTATTTTCATTTTTCTGACAGAAAAATCTGATTTTTCCCATCTCGAGCAATTTCTAAGCCCAAAATTTTCATTTTTAAATCGAAATTCTTCATTTATAAACTCCAAAAATTCCACTTTTGGGTCCAAATTCTCACATTTAGGCTCCGATCCTTCTCTTGAATTAAAAAACCCCATTTTTACACCCTATTTTAAGGAAAAAAACCCTCATTTTGGGGCCAAAAATTTAATTTAAGGATCCAAAATCCTCTTTTAAAATATCCAATCCTGCTTTTTGAGCAGTAAAATCCACATTTTTTAGGTTCTAATCCCTCATTTTCAGCACCCGACCCCTTTTTGGGACCAAACATCTCTTTTTTGGCTGAGGGGGACCCAAAAATATTAATTTTGATGCAAAAAATCCCAATTTTTGGAAGAAAAATCTCATTTTTGGGGGGTCAAAATCCCATTTTTTTAGGCCGAAAAAACCACTTTGAAGCCCACTTCGCTCATTTTCCGTCTCAAATCTTCAATTTTGGGGTCAAATTTTGATTTTTCGAGCCCAAAGCTCCGTTCTCCGTCTCCAAATTTAATTTTTTGGGGCGTTTTAAGGTTTTTTTTTTGGGTTTAAATTCCCCTTTTTGAGGCCTCTCGGCCTCTCCCCCCCCCCCCCCCCCCCCCCCCCCC